TCACTATTTCCTCCCACTGCAACAAATGACAAGGAAATCATTGAGAGCAGCCTAAAGGTTGGGTTAAATGTTTCTGTATGTTGGGACACGGTAAAGGATGGAGGCCTGGGCATTAGGTCTAGAGCCTCTCCCCCTTTGTTCCCCCACCATGCCTCTGAATCTCCCCCTTGCCTCTAAAACTGCAAAGGATCTCTGAAAGATCTTCGGGGGGTGGGGGTGGGGAGGAATGGAGTTATCTTTCAGGCCAGAGTTATCTCTCTTTCTTCTGGCTCCAGGATGCCATCAGAGATTGCTGTTTGCCTTTGCCAATTCATTCAATAATCTAGAGTATAGCAGTCCCTTTCTAATAAGAATATATTGCCCTCGTCTGCCTGCCGTAGGTACCTAGAAAGCCTCAAGGTTCAAGAAGATTGGTCATTCCTTCCACCTCCTACCCACCTTGAAATACTTCCAAAGCTACTGAAGTAACCCTTACCTGACCTAATGCAAGTTACATTGATGTGTAATTCTCCATTCTGTCCTCCTTATTCCTGAAAAGAGTTCACTAGTCATCATACCAAAGTGAGGATGGCATGGTTCTAGCCTGGTTTCTATTCATAGGCTGGTAGAAGGTTCACCCTTTCCCAGTGACCACCCTCTGTATAACTTAAGAGTTTGATGATCTTTTAAATTGGGATTTAAGGCATTAGTTGAACTTCATAGACTTACAGTGGTGCCTCGCTTAACGGGCGCCTAGTTTAACGACGAATCCGCATAGCAACGGATTTTTTGCAATCATTTTTGCGATTGCATAACATGTTTCTAATGGGAAAATACGCTTTGCGATGATCGGTATGCTCTTTCGCTTACCGATTTTTGCACAACAATGTTTTCCCAACAGCTGATCGGCGGTTCCAAAATGGCCACCGGGTTAAAAAAAATGGCCGCCCTCTGTTTTCGTGCCCATTCCTCATTACCGAGCAGCGAAAATGGCAGCCGTATGGAGGATTTTTGCATAAAGGTAAATTTTTTGCCCATAGGAACGCATTAAATGGGTTTTAATGCATTCCTATGGGGTTTTTTATTTTGCATAGTGACGAATCCTTGTAGCGCCGATTTTGGCTGGATTATCGTCGCTATGCGGGGCACCACTGTATTCCTTCACAGCCCAGAATAGAAGATGCATCTTATTCTGCTCCTAGTTTTGTTGGTTGCTCCATTTCTTCATCCCCAGTTCCCTAAGGAGTGGAAAACCTGGGCTTCTCCAAAAATTGTTTAACCTAACTCCAGCTAACAATCAAAGCATTGTCTTGACAACTAGAAAGCAGCATCTTTCTTCCTTTTCTTTTCTCTGCCTTTCTGTGTTCCAGCTGTTTATTTTCTCTTTCTGATGCATTTAACCTTTTCTCCTTTAATGCGTGGAGACCTGTATTTTATGTCAGAAGCGAGTAAATTCTAACCCTCAGCCCAAAGTCCAGTGAATTCAGAACTTGGGCCAAAGTGGTATCTCCTTCAAGGAGCCTATTGCTCATTATCCCAAAAGGATAGGGGAGAAGGATGCCAGGTATGTGTGCTGGTGTCCACCTGTGGTTTGTTTTGGCCCTACTTTCCACCAGCAGATCACTCCAAGGGAACATAGCTTTCTGCTGAACAAAAACTTCCCTAACCACGGCTTGGGGCCAGAGGACCCATGCTGCGTCCTGAGGTGCTGCAAAGTATGATCCTTTGGAGTCTTCAGGGTGGAGTGGGAATCTTTTGTAAAAGCTTCCTTTCCTAGCCTGGAATAGTGCATAATTAAAAAATCAGACCAGTAACTCCTGTTTTGCCAGCCACATTAGAAGAAGGAACAGAAGCTGTCTGTAACAAGCTGTTAAGTGCTCTCCTTTCTGGAAAAACATGGTACCATTTAGTTGACCTTTGTAGTGAAGGCATCGAGATTTCATACTGTTCCTTCACACTGCAGTGGAGGAAGGGAAGAACATTTTGTGTGGGTGACTTGTCCCAGGCACTACGTGTAAATTTATACAGTTGCTAAGCTACTGGAAATGTGCACCCCTGTCTATATGTGTTTAGGGAATTAATTTCATTTACATTAAACCATATTTGTAATTAAGGAAATAAATAGCAAAAGAACTTCAATGTGAGGACTTTTACAGTGGCTCCCACATTTTGGGGAACCACATTCTCTTCTTGACTTTTGACAAACCCTTGGGCCGCCTATGCTGCATCAGACCAAAGGCCTGTCTAGTTCAACATTCTGTTGTCATGAATGCCACCATTTATGCACAGTGTGACACAGAACTTCCTTTCCTCTGTCCTTCATCTCCTGCCATTCAGCTCCAGTGGACGGTCTCAGGTTCATCTTCTGAAAAAGCGAGATTTTTTCCACACCATGAATAATTTTATATGCATCCTAACCTTCCTCCTCTTACTTACCTTCTTCCTAAGCTGGCAAGGCCCTAATGATGTCACAAGACAAAGCCATGATCTTTTGCACTAGGAACACATAGTGCACACAGCCACATGCCCTGCCCCCACTCGATAGCAGAAAGAGAATGGTTTGGTTTGGGCGTCATTGAAGAAAACCAGAGAGTGGGGGGAAAGGGTTTGGCCCAGCTATTTATGTCTGGTTAGACTGGAAGGAGTGTGTTTGATTGCTTTCTAGGTGACATCCACTGCCTTTATAGGGCGCTGATCTCCATCACTGTTTGTCAACTTGTATATTTGTAAATAAACAGATTAACAGACATGCCCCCAAAGTCATGAAATACTTGCCCCTTACTTTGTTATCATATGAGAGGAATACAAACTACACAATTCTTCAGTTGCAAAACTAATTGCACAGCCAGCTAGAGATGCTTTTGTTCAGATGGGCTTTTTATTAACCTTGGTTTTTTAAGGTGACTCAGATGTTTAGATTATCTTGGCATATCTTTTTTGGCAATTTGGGACCAGGTTAAGCACTATTTTGAACATAGAAAAACTAGCGGAGCATGATTTTTCTTGCACATTATTTTAGCTCTTGTTCTTCTTTAATAGTAACTAAAGACAATCTGATCTCTCAGCAACCACAATAGTATTTTAAAAAGTGGTGATGTATTTTTTTTCCAATTCCGACATCAGTTTGGGATGGATGCACAGTCATCAGTAAAGTCTAACAGTCTAGAAGCAATCATCTTTAGATAAAGTTAGTATCAGCAATATTTTGATAATGAGTAGGGAAATGAAATTAAGATTACAGAACTCTTTGCAAGGGTGACCCAGATACTGCCTCAGTGCCTTCAAGAGGTGCTCTGGTTTAAAACAATCTTAGCCAATTGGAAGAAATAAATCTCAAGCAGTATAGCCAATTTTAAAACTGCCTCTCCATTTTTAACTGCCAGGAACAGCATGCAATAATGTTCAATCCCAAGTCAATTACTGTAGGTCAAGCTTATACTAAGGACAAGCTTGAAATTTCCCTGTGATCAGATGGCAGCTGTATAATCCAGTTACAAAGCAGTTGGAAAAAACTGGGAACAAAGAGTAGTTCTAAAAGGATGGTTTAAAATAAATGCAGTTTACACAGTCTCAAAAACATGGGGCACAATACAGCCAAATGTCTGAATATTCAGGATCCATTTATTTATAAATCTACAGTGGTGCCTCGCAAGTCAATTGCCTCGCCAGGCAAAAAACTCACTAAACGAATGGGTCTGGCGAGGTTTTAGGTGCCTCGCAAGACGATTCCTCCTATGGCTGTTTTTCACATGATGAATGCGCTTGCAGAGGCTAGCCCAGCACCATTTTTGAAGATAGTGCCCCTTTCCCCTGCCTTCAGCAAGCCTCTGAACAGAAAAAGGGAAAAAAAACCTTTTTCCATTTGGAGCCTTACCGAAGGCAGGTCCCGGGAGCAGGATCGAGAACCAAGGCTTGCGAGACAACTAAGCAGGATGGTTGCACACCCATGGCAGACTCGAACAACTGGCCCTGAAGAGGGGGAAAGGTTGAAATCTGTAAAAGAGCTCCATGTTCCTTGGTCAGGAAGGCACCCCCTAGGGAGGTGCGGTGGACACCGGCTCGGGAGCCGAACATGGCACACTACTTGTTTGATTGAGATGCAAAAGCATCTATGTCTGGAGTCCTCCATCAACGACAGCGGCAAAGAAAGATGGAACCCTTGAGAGCCCGCTTGTGAGAGCAGGACTGTAGTCTGCTGAGATGGACTGGCATGGAATTGTTCTCGCCTACCTAATGTATAGCTGTATGAACGAGCCCCTTGAAACAAGAGGGCTGTTCCGTGCCAACCTCCGAAGAGGCTGTACCCCACTGACAAGGGGGGAGCAGGAGCTACGGAGGCCCTTCTTCCAGGGCAGTCCTAAGGCCACAGAGGCCCAGCTCACTGCGACACAGCTCTAAGAATGAGCCCCTTGAAACAAGAGGGCTGTTCTATGCCAAATTCAGGAGAGGTTGTAGCTCAGTCAGGAGAATCACCCACAGGCGAGGAAGGCAGCCGGAGCTGCAGGGTGCCCATTCCTCTGCCAAGGGCATGCTGAGAAGCTGTCTTCTTCTATCCTGCAAGGAGGAAATTGCAAACAGACAGAAAGCTGTTGCTCTCCAGCCTGGGGGTAGCTTTATAAAGAAGGTAAAAGAGACATTATTTCTTCAAGAGAAAAGCCCTGAGGGCTGGAACGCTGGCTTTGTAAAGCCTCAACAAAGAACAGCTAATGCCGGCTAGTATTGTATCCCGCAGGCAAAAGAAACAACTTGTTACAAGTAAAGAACAAGGGGAGGTAAAGGGAAAGAAAGGAAAAGGCAAGAAAAAGAAAGATTTGTTTCTACTTGCGAAGTTCCAAAGGAAGCTGCTGCTACAGCGGTAGTCAGAAAAAGAACTGAAGCACTGGGCTGGGGGCAGAGTTATATAGCCAGGTGTAGGGGAGGTCCCAGGACTAAGTGCTTAAAGCTGTAAAAGTTACCAAAGACTGCTCTGCTCAGGCACAGATTAACCCATTAGTGTGTAATCACAGAGGACACGAAGGAAAACCACTTTAGAGATTTACTTGATGCAGGAAATCCAAGTCAAAATAACCATTATCTGTCAGTTTTCTTCAAAAAAGACATACAAATGAAAAGGCACTGATAAAACTAGGCTTTTCCTGAAAATGTCCTTATATTGCAGGAAGATTCCGTGAAATGAGTGACTTCTGATTGTGCAGACAGGAGGGCCTTCTGGCCCCAAGAAACAAAAATATAATATATTTGGTACGAAACAAGGAGTCTCTAGTGATCTGAGTGTACAACAGCAAATACTTCAATTGTTCAGGCATATTAAAGCAGATCACATTTAAGATCAGAAGGCTGTGCCTAGCAATCAGCAATCTAAAACTGCTATAAGGGAGCACTGCGGGTTCTTAGGCCCAAATGTCCTGCAGATATCTCTTTTCGTCTCTCAATGTAGCCAGTATTTTCAGTGCTTCCAATTTATCAATGCCTTTCTCAGAGATCAAGATATCCACCAATGTATCATTTACATCTTTTGCCATGTTCTTTGCATCTCTGAAAAAGAAAAAGGGGAAGTCATAAGCCATCAAACAGAAAACAAGGACGGTTAAAAGAGACACCAACACACCCAGCTTCACTTTTGAACAGGTCTAGGGAGGTGAAGAACACTGCTTGGCAGGGATGGTGGGTGGGAAAATCTGGTCAAGCTTAAAAGGGGAAGGTATGCCAATAAGTTTACTGGGTCACTGACAATACAGTGCTGCCTCGCTTAGCAATGTTAATCCGTGCAGCAAAAATCGCTGCTAAGCGATAACATCGCTAAGTGATTTTAAAAAGCCCATAGAAATGCATTAAAATGTGTTTAATGCATTCGTATGGGCTTCAAAGCTAACCTTATGCGAAAATCCATTACGGTGGCCATTTTTGGTGCCTCTAAAGTGAGGCAAAACAGCGGCCGGCCATTTTTTTCCCGACAGCCATTTTGGAACTGCTGATCAGCTGGCTGAAAATGGGGGCTTTGTGATGATCGCTTCCCCGCGATCATCGCAAAGCGAATTTTCCCCATAGGAAACATCGCAAAGCGATCGCTTTTGCAATCGCAAAAATAGCGTCGCTAAGCGATTTTGGCGCTCAACGGAGCGAGGCACCACTGTAATTGCCTGTGAAGCAAAGCATACAACTATGCAATCAAGGCTCGCTTCCCTTTTCACCCTCATGCACTGGAGGGATCTAGGCATCTTCTGACTCCCAGAAGAATTCCAATGCACTGGGAATCAGTGTTAGGGTTGTAGCTAGTCTCAGGTCTCATGTAAACCTCTTGCATTTTCCTGATTTCAGTGAAAACTCTGAAGTCTCCTCAGCTCTTGAACAGGGCCATCCACGGACAACCTGAGCATGTCAGTCCTGCTCCTCTGAATCATGACTGTCTGGAAACAGCAAGAAGTGCTTTCTTTTAAACACTATTGCATATATATTATTTGCATACCAGTTATACCTAAAGTAGGTTAAAATAGCTTACAAGGTAGATTTTGTAACACTTGGCATGAGGCACAAACCAAAAGATGGGTGCCTCCCATGGAAGCCCTAATGAAATGAATGAGATCTCTGCAAAAGTTTTTTTTTTTTTTAAACCCTTTGCACAATTTCAATCCATTCCAGGGAGCTTGTGCAAAAGAATCTCTCAGGACTGCACTTTGTGCAAGACTCCTGCTCTGTTCCTTTTTTGATGAATTGACTCTCTGAAAATGTGAGCAAGAGTTCGCATTATCTTTTGACCAATTGTGTGGCCAAGCCAAAGAAGCAGGTATCTATTGGTCAGAATCAGGACTCCTGAGATAACTGAGGCTACGCAGTCCAAAGAGCTACAGGCTTGTGCAAAAAATCGATAGCTCAAGGCATCCAAAGCCTAAAGACATTTTTTCTCCAGAATAAACTGCTGGTTTCCTGGATTAAAGAACATTGAATCCATGGAGGTTTTAGCTTCGATATCATATCAGAAGTTCTGACAAAGTTAGCAAAACTCCATTCTTACAGCTTTAAATTCCAAAATCTTAAAACATAATGTTTATTTTTTGATTACTAACCTATACAAATTTCCCCAAGGAGTCTAAAATATCAGGTTTTTACATTTATTCCTACACAGGGAACAATGCAGCTCTTTAAGCCAACAATTCAAAATCCTGCTACTAGAAAAGCTGTTTCACATCCTCACTTCTCTGTACCTGAAATCAGTGGGCCATAAAAGAACAAAGTCTCCTAGATCATGAATGCACAACCTTTTTGTCCTCAAGACTGTCTGGTGTTGGCTGGTGGCCAAAGGTCCACATACAAAAGGAGGCATGTGCCCATGCAGACATGTGCATATACTGTCCCACACACCTCTTTCGCACACAGTGGGAAATCTCTCTGGTGCACCCTGCTCAGCATGCAGCAATGCAAACATTTAAGACGTGCCTCTAGTGACCAGTTTGGGGGGGTGGGTAGGATAAAATGCTTGACCTCTACACTACCCCAGCAAGACTCCTGTTCCTCTGAGAACACTAGCACTTGTAAGAGCACATATCTGCCTGCCGCACAGCCGCTGTGATGAGGATCGAGACTGTTGTCCTGACACTGGTAGTGGTAATGGCAGAGTCAGGAGAAGGATTTCTCTGCCACCAATGACCTTACTGGGTGAATGGAGCCAGAGGAAGCATCTGCAGAATTCGTACCAACACTAGCTGTGACCTGAGCACCAGAGCTTAAAAAAAGACAGCTTCAGAAGCCCAATGGATGAGACCAGGTCTGTTCTCACATTTCCTGCGGTGGCCACCCAGGAGCTGCACTTATGGATGTTTAAAAGTTACACCAGTGTATTCTTTATGCCCATTACTGCCAGACAGAGATTATGCTGGTGCCATGAGTTCCTAACTATAACCCTGGTTTTCTCTTATTATTATTATTATTATTTTGTCTCAACAAGTCCAGAGTGAAACCACGGCGATTCCCTCTATGCCACTTTCTAGCCTGTTAAGAAGTTCTCAAACAGCTCTTAATGCAAGCCACTAAGCAATGTAATAAAACTGTGCCTCCAGGAGTATTTTCTTTAAGAACAAACATCTAACCAGAACACCTGGGCTCCCCCATTAATTTCTTCTTCTTCTATTGTTGCTCCAGCTCTCTGCTTACGCAAGTTTAGAAGCCCGAAGGTTTCAGTCTGTAACTTCTAATCTAAAGGCAGTTAACAATTTAACAAGTTCTTGCATATCCAACGTCTATAATACAGTAATTCACCATTACTCACCCACACAAATAAAAATACCCCTTTTCCTGCAGGAGAATCCTGTCAATCTCCTTATTGAAAAGCCGTAGGTTATCCTGAACGTATCTAGGACTGCCAGTTTGTATCATAGCTGGGGTGTCTCTTGAGAAGCAAACCTTCAGATGCGTTAGAGTGCCATTGTCAACAAAGTGCCTGAGCTCATCCCTGAAAGACAGAAGAGAGGATGACTGTGGAAATGAAAACCTAGCGCCCATGCACTGCTCCTGTTTTTGCTTGGGTGTTTCAAAAAAACACGAGTAAAGGAGTGAACTTACTGAAACAAGTAATCTCTGGCTTTGTGCCGGCAGCCAAAAAACAGCCATGTCTCTCCAAAAATCCAGTCTTTGTGCTCTTCCTTGAGCTTCTGTCTAAAGAATAGATAAGTGTAATATTATAACTGTAACCAGGGCTATTTTTATTCTGCACTTAAAAACAACAACAAATCTCCCATTCCTTTTGATTTGTGGGTGACCCATACAACACATATTGCCTTGGTTTAAACAACTGCGTGCCTATCTAGAATCTCATTTAGTCTATGCACTCTACACAAGGACTAAGAACATTTGCTTGTAAGCAGTATTATCAGCAGAGTTGCTCCTGAGCATAGATGTTACGTAGGATCCTTATGGAGTGCATTATGTGTAATGATCTGCACATATCAAGCTCCATTAAAAAGAAAACAGGGAAGCTGTTTGCACCCATATATATTCACAAAGCACAACAAAAAGGAATGGACCCACTGCTGGTGTACCCAGTTCTATTTACTTTGTCACCACTGGCCAAAGTAATCATTAAGATCCTAAATGCTACGAAAAGTACACGTTCTGCTACTTGCTAAGCTATGGATAAAGCCAGCAAAAAAAGGAACTCATTTCGTATTATGTGATAGTTCACAACACAACTTACTTAACTTAGGAGATGAATCAGAAAGATCTGAAAAATCCCAACTGTTTGTAAATTCATTGCAGTCTAGAATCAGTAGAGAGTTATTTTCGGTGATATTTGTAGTACAGCACTCTTCTGCTTGGTTAATTCAAAGAAACAGAAATGCTGAAATCGAGAGAAGGCATGAAATCCACCCCCTCTTGTTTCTTCTCCTTAGAGTTATCTAAAAACCTAATCCATGCAAACAACCTTCCTTTAGGTTATCACATCCTCTGCATCTACTACTTGATATTCATGCAGCAACAACAGTGGGCTCACAGTGGCCTTATAAATCTCAAATACTCTCTGTTGTAACTACATCAAAGTTTTAATCAATTTCAATTCATGATTGCCGCAAACTGTCTTTCAGTACAATGCACAGGCCATTGAGGTAATATGGAATAAATTAGTCACAGCAGCTTGTTAAACATTATGAGTTCCCATTATTAGCAATAATTATAGCAAATCTGTTTTCCCTCTGTTTTCAAAGGGAGATTCTGGGTGTCCCAATGGATGTTTCCCCAAGAATTTATTACCCAGTTTAAGGAAGGAATCATTTTGTATTGTAACAATTCAATTTCATGCACCACATACAAATACTTTTTTAGATTCTGCCTCGTATTTCTCTAAAGTACAAACCAAGGCACCATGTTGGTGCATTAAGTTCATGTTAAATCAAGTATGAGTTTGAAACATAAAACTGTAGAGATGAATTGAAATTCATTGACATCATTGAATTTAGGATGTCTAAACATGGATGGGTCAGCTTTCAGAGTAATATCCTTCAAGCATGGCTGATGTGGTGAAAAAGCCAACCAAGGTTTAGTATATCACAAAAGTATCATCTTCAGTGTGGCTCCCAGTTCACTGTTATTGTTACGTTCCATTAAGTTGTATCTGACTTACAGCAACCCTAATAGAGCTTCCAAGGTAAGTGAAATATTTAAGGACATTTCACCAATGTCACATACAGAGAGTTTCCATGGTGAAGAATGGATTTGAACCCAGGTCTTTTAAGTCCTAGTCCATCACTCTATCCATCACACCACCAATTTAGCATGCCTGCTAAACCTTTCATAGTTTGGAGCCATGTTATCTGAAACAGTGGCTCATCACAAACTTTTCTTCTACAGCAGTGCCTAGTCTAGAGTTTTCACGTTTTGAGGTAGTTCAGGTGGCTACTGAGCTTGGGCCTTTTCAGCAGTAGCACCTCCTTCATCCACCCCATTGCATCTTACCCAGAAGGGTCTCCCGGGAATCTGCTTTACTGTTTCCATTATCCTTCTGCCATTGAATGTTTATTATCAGGTCATTTAATCCTCTGTATGTTCATTATTAATGCAGTGTTTCAGTTAGCTTTATCATGCCTCTACTTTTTAGCCTCTACTGTTTTTCTTCATTTTTTTTGGCTTTTTCCATATTATAATACAGATTTATTTATTTCTTGGTATCTTGAGCTGAGAGCTCTCAGGTACAGGACAATTAATGCAGTTAGAAAATAAAGATGATCAGCTACCGAACTTGAATTTCTTGGTACTACTGAAGTAAATGAAACACAACAAGTCCAAATTAAACAAGAATATTATATTGTCCTACATACCCACATTGGTCAGCTAGTCCTAACCACAATAAACCCACTGAGTGGGATTTACTTATATGTTGACCTACCATATAACAACTGATTCAATAGATCTACTCTCTAGACCAGAACAACAATAATATATGGGTCCTTATTTCCAAAACTCATGCAATGCATTTGCTTCGTAGCTTGAGTATATGCTTCCTAAGCTAAAATGGGGAGTCAATTGCTCTGCAGTAATGTGCAGAGTCTGCAATTTGAAGATTTCACTGAGAAAACTTGTGGTCAATTAGACAAAGATTAAAGTAAACTGAGAAAGAAAAGGAATAAAGTACTGCAGAAGAAACTATGGTGCTAGTTAGAGGGGTACAATTTAAAATAATCATAGCTACCTTATGCTGGTGTAGTAAATGGCAATGTAAAGAACCAAATTCATATCACTAAGTGGAATGAAGTGAAAGGGAAAAGATCATGAGGAAATAAGCAGAGGAAATTGGTCAAGGTTAATCTGATCCAACTGATCTCTCTTCCACTTCTGTATGGTTATAACCCTTTACTAGTAAAACAATGAAACCAATTCTCAGTGATGCTGGCATGCTTGTTTTTTTGCCTCTTCCTATCAGCCAAATGGGTGCTTGGTTTTTTTTTTGCCTCTTCCTATCAGCCAAATGGGAGGGATCAGTGACAAGGTTCCTCCCCACCCATATGGTCCCCGCCTCTCCTATTAAGGTTCTAGCTAGCCCACCATGTTGGTTAAAGTATTCACATTGTATGTCACAGACTTTAGTTGCCCAAACGCTGCCTACGTAGTTGGCATTGCTGAAGATCTCTTTCTGTACATCATACAAGATATCAGAGGACAGGTGTGCTTTGTGGGTTAAAGATGTCAGGGAGTAATCAGTTAGAATTTCACTATGGTATCACCCATTCGCAGATGTTATGAAACAATTCCCTAAAAACGGTCACACACATACAGATGCACATGTGTGTGTTCACATGAGTGCATTACTTGCCTATGTTGCAGGAAGCCAATAAATGGTGCAATTCCAGTTCCAGGACCAACCATTATAAGAGGAAGAGATGGGTCTTCTGGTAAATGAAAAATGTTGACTGGACGAGGAGATATGGAGATCTAGAATGAAGTGAGATATCATTAAAAAAAAGTTTAAGAAAAACAACAGATACATTTACAAGCTATACCTTCCACACCCAATATTAGGTGCAATTAACATTTGAAAAACAGGACAGTAATGAGGGAGGAACAAGATAGGAAATAGTTTTTCTGCAGAAGGTGGCAGGAGAAAAATAGATAAGAACCAGATTTTAGATAAAGAAAAGGAACTTATCTGGAACTGGATGCCCAGATTTGTGTTTCAAACTCACTGTTACAGGATGTTATGAAAACCAATAGAATGTTTTTAAAAGAAAGAAAGAAAAAGAACCCATATTTCACATTTTCATTGGGAAGATTGTGAAAGGCACATTTATTGTATCAATGCAATTCACTTGCACATTTAATTTCCATGTGAACATCTTTTCTGCTAAGGAAGTGAACATTAGTTTTGCATCAGGAATTGGGTGCACTTAGCTGCGAGGTCTCCTGCTCTTGTTAACAACAAAAATCTGATGCCATGACATAATTTATATAAAACTGTTGACAATTCTTTTTAAGGTATTAAATTTTTCATATGAGCAAAGGTTAAAGTGTGTAAGCAGGTATGTTTTGTTTCTTTAAAGAAATGCTGATTTCTTTACAATTTCTATACAAGAGCCACCCCCCCAAAAAAAGATGGACAAAAATACTCTTTATAACTTGCCCATTTCTTCTAAATGTGTAGACTACTGACTAAGAGCTCATACAAATGGCGCAAGTACCAGCCTGTAACTCTCCTTCCCCCTGGAATAACCTGAAAACATTGGAACATTTTTAAAGGAATGTCTTCTGTTACTTTACTTTGGCCCAGTAGCAGATGGTTACTGTTACTCATTAACCCAAAGTAGCTAATTCCATTGGTGACTAAAGCATTACCATTACCAATTTAGGAATGGGATTTTTGAAATTAAAGGACTCTCAGTCCCATAATCCAGCTGGAATCCCACCAGGCCAAATTATGGAATGGGAGCCATCAAACTGACAGGAGGGTAGAGCACCCCTCTTACCTCCATGCTGTTCCTGCGCCACTTCTTTGCGCCCTTGGCACCACTGAAATGTATGCTCCCTGGCACCTTTGTGAGTAGCAGGGAATCCTTGCAAAGCTGCCTGTTATGCTTTCCAGAAGGTGTGAAGAAGGGACACAGGGCCAGCATGGAGATGAGAGGACTGTGGCAGACTCCCAGTCCCATAAGTCATCCTTGGTGGTGGTGGGGAGATGTTTCCTGGCAAACTATGGGACTGAGAGTTCATTAATTCAAAAATCTCATCCTTTATTATGATTCCATGCAACCACTAGAAGACACATGAAAAGGCTCACTGATTCCTTCATGTGGCCACCTCTGTTTACTGCACGTTGAAATGCAGTGGAAAAAAAAAACACATTACAAAGCCAGGCTTCTGTTGGCATTTCACTCCAGATGCCGTGAACTATCCCTCCCCACCACACACAAGGACTCCAGATGGAATAGTCCTACACATCAAAGGGTGTCAGAGTGACTAAAATTCTATAGACTGCCATTTCTTGGGATATTGATTTAGTCAACAAATTAAACTTTCTTGAATCTACCCTGCAAGATTCACATCCGTAATAATAACAACAACAACAGCAGCAGCAGCAGCAGCAAAACATCTATGTTGAGCAGGATACCAAGTTGGCTAGTAGGGTCTAGTGTGCTTTGTCACATCCATGCACTTTCCACAGGCTCACTCTCTCTCATGCACACGAGTGCGCCCTTTCTCCCACACACTCTCTCATCCTGCCCTGGGCTGGGAAAGAAAGACAAAAGAGATTGCATGAATGTTTACATCTTGTGGCTGTTTCTCTCCCCACAGCCGCTTTTCTCCTACCTTAGATCCTATCTCCCCACCCTTCTGTCTCTCTCTTCTTAATAAAAACCCTCTGCTTAGGGGAAATGCAATAGTAGTAAAAACTTTATTGGACTTCATTCCCAGTTGGAGTACTTGCAAGTGAAGCCACAATCTCACCGCAGAAGACCAAGACCAAGGTGCTAAAAATTCCTACAAGCATACTAATAGCAAAACAAAACAAAAACCCTGGTGTCGTGCCTATTAGGTTTCATAGCTACCATGATGAAACTCTAAAACATCATTAACAATAGAGAAAAAGATGGCCGTTATGTCAGAAATGCACAAGTATATCAGGATGGTACAAGAAAAACATGCGTTTTTGGACCCAGATTGGATACCTCTGGAACGAAGAGCTCCTCATCCTTCGTGCTCGGCTGAAGGATTGGGGCAGTCAATGTGGCTAGCCAGCCTGAGCAGACTCCTCTTCGCAGCTGACCAAGAGGAGATGCAAATTCCAGAATATTGAAAATGAAACTCATCTTTCCAGGCTGAAATAAATTGGAGCTGCAGCAAAAACAAAAGAAAATACATTTTCCATACATTAATAGGAAGTTAACCATCCCATTACAGACAAAGAGTATTGTAATTCAGAGCTGAGTACACTCTGTATTAAGAAAAATGTTCACCCAGAGATACAATGTGATCCTCATCCAAAGCTTTCCTGCTCCACAACCCACTTTATTCAGCTTTCCCTCCAACACCAGAAATTTTAAGTAGAGCCACTCACATACTTTCAAATGTATCTCCCTGGTCACAAAGTCTAGAAACTTTTAAACTAACAAATGAGAAGTTCTCTGGGTGCTGAATCTATGCCTATTCCCCAGCCCCACCCCTTCCCTGTATATCTGCTGTACATCCTCAGAACACAGATTACCCTGATCATGGTCTCTGCTAAAGAGTACTGATATACAAGGCCTTCAAATAATAAGTACAGTCATGGCCAAAAATACTGGCACCCTTGCAATTCTGTCAGAAAATGCAACCCTTCTCTCAGAAAATTGTTGCAGTTGCAAATGTTTTGGTACTCACATGTTCATTTCTTTGGTTTACGTTGGAACAAAAGAAAAAAAACAGAGAAGTCAAATCTGATACAATCCCACACAGAAACCCAAGAATGCCAACATTATTGGCACCCTGTCTAAATTGTAAGAAGTAATTGCTTTTCAAGCATGTGATGCTCCTTTAATTTGTATTTAGACACACCTGTCGCAAGTAAGAGGTGTGGGCAATATGGTAACCAGTTAAGATGGAGAAAAGTTGACTCAACCTTTGTGTTGTGTGTGACACTGAGCATAGAGAAAAGAATGAGGTGTAAAGAGGTGTCTGTGGATTTGAAAAAACTGTGGAAAAACATCGAGAATCTCAAGGCTACATCTCCAGAGATCTTAATGTTCCTGTGTCCATTGTGTGCAGTATCATCAAGAGGTTTACAGCCCATGGCACTGTAGCTAATCTCCCTGGACGTGGACCAAAGAGTAAAATTACTGAAAAATTACAACAAAGGGTTGTTCGAATGGTGGATACAGAACCCAGATTAATTTCCCAACAAATTCAAGCTGATCTGCAGACACAGGGTACAACAGTGTCAGTTCGCACTATCTGTTGCCATCTGAATAAAAGGGACACTGTGGTAGGACCCAGGAGGACACCACTGCTGACACAAAGGCATAAAAAAGCAAGACTGGAGTGTGCCAAAATGTATGTGACAAAACCACAATCCTTTTGAGAGAACGTACTGTGGACAGATGAGACAAAAGGAGAGCTTTTTGGTCAAGGACATCATGGTACTGTTTAAAGAAAAAGAAACGAGGCATTCAAAGAAAAGAACACAGTCCCTACAGTCAAGCATGGTGGAGGTTGAAAGATGTTTTGGGGTTGCTTTGCTACTTCTGGCACTGGATGCCTTGACTGTGTGAACGGTATAGTGTCATGAAATCTGATGATTACCAAAGAATTTTGGGGCACAACATAGTGGCAAGTGTCAGAAAGCTGTGTCTCCACCAGAGGTCAAGGGTCTTCCAGCAGGACAATGACCCAAAACACACTTCAAAAAGCACTCAGAAATGGTTACAAAGCGCTGGAGAGTTCTGAAATGGCCAGCAATGAGTCCAGATCTGAACCCCATAAAACACCTGTGGAGAGATCTCAAAACAGCAGTTGGGAGAAGGCATCCCTCAAATCTGAAGGCAGCTTGCAAACGAAGAGTGGTCCAAAATTCCAGTAGAGAGGTGTAAGTAATTCATTCATGGTTACAGGAAGCAACTGATTTCAGTTATTTTTTCCAAAGGGGTGCTACCAAATATTAAGTTCAGAGTGCTAATAATGTTGGCCAGTGCATTTTGGGGTTTCTGTGTGGGATTGTATCAGATTTGATTTTTCTTCTCTGTTTTTTGGTGTTGTTCCAATGCAAACCAAAGAAATGAACATGTGAGTACCAATTGTTGCAACTGCAACAATTATTTGAGAGCTGACAAAATTGCAAGGGTGCCAATATTTTTGGCCATGACAGTATATTTTTTTCCTTTTTTGCAAGCCCATGTTGAGGTGGTAGATTCACAGTTATACTACCACTACAGTTATAATGAATAAGAATAAAATAATAAAGAGTCATAGCATCAGCAATGTTAAAGCAAAGCAAAAGGCACAGTGTGATGCTTATATACCACCCCATACTGCTTAAAGCACTCTCTGAGCACAATTATGCAGGCTACACATTGTCCCTCTCCCCGCACAACAACAACCTGGGTACTCCAACTACCAGCCTTGGAAGGATGGAAGTCTGAGTGAACCTTGAGCCATCTACCTGCAATTGAACCTGGGTTGTCAGCAGACTTTTGGCTACAGTACAGCAGTTAATCACTGTGCCATGAGGCTCCTCAGCAACAATGCTGTGAGCCAGACCCTTTAGTGAGTTCACGGCAGAGACGAGACCAAGTGGCTCCTGACTCCTGATAACAATAAGGAGATTGGCAGCTGAGATGGCTAGAGAAGCATAAGACTGAGCAGGGAGTGAGCTGGGGGGGGACAAAAGGCCGAAAGCCATCAGTGATATTGTTTTTTTGTTTTGTTTTTTACAAAGACAGGCTGGAGCATCACTGTCTTTCATTCTTTACGGCATCTATGTTGCCCATTCAGCACCTTAATAGCCTCCTCTATCCATAAAAGGATGAGATGTATAATTTAAAAAAATAATAAAGAACACTCTGTGAACAAAACAGAATGTAACTATTACTTTACCTTGCAGCTGAGTAGGGTCTGGCTTGCAATTTTGGAAGATGCTCTTAAAAAAAAAAACAGAGAACCCGGTAAGTGCAAGATGCTACCATTCATTCTACTTTTACCTACAAACATTGCCAAGAATGTTAGATAACATATTAAACCATTCCAGAATTCTTTACAGATACCCTCTCATTATTCTTTCCAAACAACCCTGCAAAAGTAGTTCAATACGGAGAACTCTACATTTAATGGTGAGAGGAAAGTGAGTGGCTTGCCTACAAGGAGTCAGCAATTTCATAAGTGTATGTGTGGGGGGGCAGACTTAAAAACCCCAGGGACTGTACCTTTCCACTGTGCGCAAGGAGTGTGCTCCCTGCTTAACGTACAATTGCCTTTTGGGGAGGAGAGGTTTTTAGAAAGGATGCCTACATCCTTTCTAAAGTATGGCTACAATGCATGGCTACAAAAAGGATGCCTACATCCTTTAGAAAGGATGCCTACATCCTTTCTAAAGTATGGCTACAATGCATGGCTACAAAATGACACACTGCACACAGAAATTCCAAATTTTCAAGTAATATACAGCAAATTACCGAGTGCCTGAGGACATGTGATGGGATGGTTATGGTCACCTTCCTTAGCCTGTGAGCTTCTTTAGGGAATCTGGTTAGACACTGCTGGACAGGACTGAACCCTGATCTTTTCCAGCACATCTTCTAACAAAATGCATCTTTTGAAGGATTGCAGTTTTGCTGCAACTGATGAACACAATTTCTAAGGCATCTATGTGCTGATATCCACAGCCTCTCCCTTTTGCAGCTGTAAATATTCCACACTCACCAATCAGGAGACTAAGTGGAGGACGGCAAGTTGGGAAAGTGTGGAGTAAATCCAACAAGCAGGCCCCAGCATCTCTGATGAAAGTGTTATAATCTGAGGATCCTTGTTTGCTACACAGTTCTTGAAGCCTCCTCTTTTCTCCAGCATCAGTGGTATATTCTACCAATGAACGCAAAAAAGCCTAGCAAAGGAGAAGAGGCCGCATTTAATTTGGGTTCAGTTGTGCTGTTAGGAAGGTTCTTCTCCAGTAACATAAACAGGTACACCTCCCCCCCCGCAATGTTATCTTTCAGATTTACAATAACTGAGAGGACTGAGAGTGGCAGACTCAATTTTTAGTCAAACCTATTAAAGACAGCCTTGAAAATAAGTCTACAAAATATACTAACTCACAGCATTTGTTCTACTGGCATTCTTGACCCTACTGTCTTCAACCTTTTACTAGTACTGTTGTCTTTTCTACTGAGTCTTACCTTATCATGATACATTTAAATTAGAATAGCTGCATTTTGGCTTCTGCTGTAGGCTCAGGCTTGATTTGACCTAGGACTCATTTATTTCTCTTTATGGCAGTCACTGGTATCCATAAAACTTTTCTCCAACACCACATTTCAAAGGAGTCAATAACTTTTTCCTATCGGCTTCCTTCATCGTCCAGTTGTCATATCCACACACAGTAAACAAGAATGAACAGCAAATATATCTTACTCTCTAGTGACCCATCCTTCTTTTCTATTTCACAGCTGTTTTTCTGAACCTCAATCTCCTGATTTCTTGGCTGCAGTCTTAATTTGAATTCACTGAACCACAGTTTAGCAAAAACTATTTTGATAACTTCATTGCCAACATTGAAATTATACAATTCTTCTGTAGTCACTATTTTTGTCTTGTTTCACCTTTAATCCTATTTTTGCACTTTTCCATGTTCATTGCAGCTCATTATTATAATGGTATTATCTGCATATCTTGACATTACTGATGCTCCTCCCACTAGTCCTCATTCCTTCACCTGAAACTTATCCAGTTTTCTGCACAGACTGTTCTGCGTATTAACTGAAAAGATGGCAAAATAAAACCCACCCTTGTCTGAGTTATACACCATAATGATCAACTGTGGTAACCTACACATTTCCTTTAGAATGGTAAACAGCTTTTCACAATCTAGCCAATAAAAACTACTCTGTAATCAATGTGCATCGATTTTTCTTCCGAAATTCTTTGGCCAATCGCCAACCTATATCTGCAATATATCTCTCAGTGCCTCTTCCATTTCTGAACCCACCTTGACCATTTGGAATTTTTTGTTCCATACATGATAAAAATCTTTATCCTAAAGGTCTATCTATTTTCTTTAAGCTGTATATGGCTGACATCTAGTGGTCAGCACAGGAAACAATTTTTTAAAATATATAACCAATTTGTAGAGTTTGGATAGACCAGAATGGGGAGCCAGGGCCAAAAGTGTGAATGCCACTGGGCTGCCCAGGAGGAAATTGGCAAACCAAGATATTTGTTTATTTATTTTAAAAATTTTTATCCCGCCACTCTCCTTAAAAAGGAGACAATCTGGAGCGTGTGTGGTTGATGGGGCAACTTATCTTGTCTTCTGTGCAGCCTTTGCAAACTGCACCATCTCAGAGTGCCGCCAGAAGAAATGACTAGTAAATCATTTCTAAGTGTTTCACACGTACGAAATTCTGGAAGGTTTGCCGTAAGTGAGAAATGATTGGACCGCACATGATTCTTAATTAATTGCATCGACTATAAAGTGTTCAGCTACCGAGTATTTTAGTTACCAGAACGTCTATGGATTATTATTAAGTCTTTTTTTCCCATTGTTCAAAGATGATTCTTTCTAACTAATACAAGCATTGCACAAAAGGGTTTTTTTTTTTTTTTAAATGTGCATTTTCCCTTAACAACACAGCTGTGTGAGCGCCCGGGTGACTGTAGCAACCAGACATTTCAACAGCTGCTTATAAGCCTTCTTGCAGCTGCTTATAAGCCTTCTCAACACCACTACCCCTATCATGCACCTTTCCTCTAGCAACACATGAGTTCTATGTGAACTTAGCAGACAGAGGAGCAAGAAACTTTTTAAAAAAAAAAAAATCATCCACACTCCAGCTCCAAGAAGAGGCAAAATTTTGCCTCGGGGAGGGTTGGTGAATGTGCATATGACTGTTGTAGCTGGAATTGTCAACTGCTACAAGCATGGAGCTTTTTTTTTTTAACCAATTGGAACGTCATCTATTAGCTTGTGTGCAAACCAGAGCCAGGTCTTCCCCTTGTGGTTCTTAAGATACGCAAAAGCATTCCATTATGCTGTATCAGTTCACCTCAGTTCAGTGGCTTGCAGTCAGGTTGACAGCTCCTTTTTGAAATCTCACTGTATGATTTTGAGCAGAGCTGAGGAAGTCAAATGGGAAAGCACACTGTATGATTCTGAGCCACTCAGCAGAGCTGAGGAAGTCAAATGGGAAAGCATGGCAAGGTAGTATTCCTCCAAACATCAGGCAAAGCCAAAACTGGACAGAAAGGGCAGTATATGGGGATGCGCCATTCAGTTTTAGTTTCGATTCCAACTACTAAAATTCTTTAAGAACTCCCCAGGTAGAATTCAGGGAGTTCCAGCCCAAAGGCCCACACCTTTGAACACCTACCTCTCTTGGAGAATGCTGGGAGTTGGAGTCCCACCCCATCCCCAAAAACTCCCATCTCTATTAGTTGTACATAGTATCAAGTTCCAGATCTAACTATGGCAAAATGGGTCTTGGATCACAAAAAAGATGGTATACAGAGGCCCACTTTAAAGTGTACCAAGAAGAATGGCTAATAATTATGCAGAAATGTAAAAACAGGAACAGCCGACCTTTTTGACAACTGCTCTGATTTCCAGACACCATGTCAGAATGAATTTTACTGTAGCCTTTTCAGGTATATACTGTGGAAGAGTTGCTCCTGTTGAAAAGAAAAATAAATAAATAAATCAGCATTGGGAGTATACCAAGAAATAGTTTTGCTCTTCCATATAATTATTTAGGGGATAGTTGCAAATCTTCAACGACTCAATCACGCCTACAAATCAGTGATTTTTAACTACACTCCAATGAACCTTTGGGGTCCTGGTAGACTCCAAGATCTGAAGAAACTGTGGAGAAGCTTTTCTAAGTGTTGAGTAAATATTAGAGCAGGACTGGGCAGACTACTACGTTTGAGGTGGGGATGCATCCTCCCCAACCCACTAGGACCCACATCTCCCTTCATGACTAGTTTTTCAGGAAAAAATATACTGGACATCACCATTAACCATACTATTTTCCCTTTAAAACATGGTGCTTGCTCCCACTGTGTATGTTTAAAAAGCAGATGAGTGCTTCTAAAGACTTTCAAGAAGAAAAATCTTTTTTGCAAACAAGGTGTGTGGGGGAGAAAACCTTCCTTTTAAGCAAACATTCTTTTGTTGAAAGTAAAATTCTGATATTTCACTGCTTTTGGAGGTGATTTGCAGCAGGGGAGGAAGGAGATGCTCAGGGAACTTCAGCAAGTATGGGGAAGCAGTGCTTTCCCCACCTGTCAACCCTGAAAAATGTTTTCCAACCCTTTATATGCAGTAGTTGTTATTTGGCATATAATTTAATCTGTAAGGGAGTCCCTGCAGGCAAGAAATTCAAAAACCTTCAATATAAAAACCATGTTAAATCTGATACATAAAAGAGGAAGTACTCTGGCAGATTCATAGGATCCATCCTAGGAGTAAATTGGAAGCATTATAATTGAACATTGCTGCAGGCAGTAGTACATTTTTATATCTCCTACTACTGAACATTATGACAAACTAAGGTGGGAAACAGATTTATGGACATATCAGCCACCCAATATTTAGTAGTTCTGGGATAAAAAGATATCTTGTATGAATGTATAGCTGGTCAAAAAAAAGGAATCAGAAGTAAACTTAAAATATTATAATGGAGAAAAGTAAATAGTGGCTTTCCAAAGAAGAATCTGTACTGAGCCAGAACTATTACATAATTATATAAATTAATATAAATTTAGCTATGGCAAAGTTTCCTGGCAGTCACTGAAGTAATAGGTAAAGGTTCCCCTTGACATTTAGTCCCACCGTGTCCAACTCTACAGCACAGTGTTCATCCCTGTTTCCAAGCCATGGAGCCAGCATTTGTCTGAATACAGTTTCCATGATCACGTGGCTCGGATGACTAGACATGGAAAGCTGTTATCTTCCCACCGAGGTGGTACCTATTTATCTACTCGCATTTTTACATGCTTTCTTTTTTACATACTTACTAAAGTTATACAGATGGTCAAATCCCAATGAGACAAAAAAAAACCTTCAAAGGAATGGCACCAGGCTACACAAATAAGCAAAAATAAAAACAGATACCCTGTTTCCCTGAAAATAAGACCTAACCTGAAAATAAGCCCTAGTATGATTTTTCAGGATGCTTGTAATATAAATCCTACCCCAAAATAAGCCCCAATTAAGTGAAACCCCACCCTCCATTGTGCAGCAATCTGAAGAAGATGACATGACTGTATTTGAATAAATGTAGATTGTTGTACATGAAAAAATAAAACATCCCCTGAAAATAAGCCATAATGTGTTTTGGGAGTAAAATTTAATATAATAGCCTGTCTTATTTTCAGGGAAACACAGTAAATAAGATTAAGGCTGCAATTCTTAACACATTTACAATAGAGAAAATCTCATTTTTGGTCAGTTGGACTTCCACCTGAGTGAACAAGCATAGACCTGTGTGTATTTTTAGAAAAATTCTAAAAATACATTTTTAAATCTGGTTTTAAAACTTCTTATTTAAGTTAATAACAGCTGAACTAGGGGTGTCTATTGGTTTTAAAATTAATTAAAAACAGATCCTTTCAGTTTAGTTACAAAAACCAATGAGAGTAAGTTTCATGTTTGCTTTAGGTGAAACACACAGTCATTCTTTTGCTGCCTTTAACTTTGGGATAAAGGAAACAGACATTATTTGCTTATTTTTCAAAGGGCAGGATCAAAGGACAGAATTCAAACCCTGGCACATAAGAAAACCTTACCTCTTTTTTTAGTGCCCACTTTAACCTTCAAGCAAACAAGAGAATCCTTCTTCTCCAAAAGACCCAAGATATCTAGAAGGTCTTCCACCTCACTGGTATAATTGGGGCAAATCACGTTAAAGGCATCTCCAGGTTGGTAGCTAAAAGTTGTTTTCTGTTTGAAAGACACAAGTTTACTTCTATAAAACAATGCTTAAAACTTATGACATTTCCCTCCTCTTCTCTTTTAAGGTCACAATTCACAAAAGTAGCTCCCCACCAAAGCAATGTATGGGTATTTGCCCTTATCAACTTTACAGCACAGAAGCAATTATGACCTTTGCTTAATGAAGCCCTGGGTCTGCATCAGCCTGAGCACATGAAATACACAACCCCATAAAGAGACAAGCTTCTCTTTCCCAAGGCCAGATTTTGGGTGCCAATGCTTGTGGAGACAAAATAATATAACCTCTGTACAAGTGGGACGTACCTGCAAGACTGGGAAAACCCCATGAAATACAAAAACTATCCCCAAATATTACAGAAAATCTCTGTCAGAAGGGCTGCCACATCAATCCAAAGCAGATTTGTGCTCAGTGAGCACAGACTGTTTACTAGAGATGCGGCTGAAGGCGGGGGAAGAGAATGGGAAGGAGGGAGGACTCTAGGAAAGGGGATGCTAACCTAGCTGGAGTACTGAAGAAAAGCAACTATGAAGCACGTCTCCACCTGATGTTGTAGCTGATTAATACAGCCCAGTACTTCAATCAGTGAAGGTCATTGTTGCCAAGAAATTGCAACACTACAGGATTACATGAAGAAAAATTCTTACATCGGCTGAAATCATGTTGAGTTGTTATGTTGGCACAACTCAACATCATACCCACATTACCAAGGTAGAAAAATCACCCATGAAACACCTTTGTAGGTGCAATGGACAGCCAAGCTTTGATGGCTAGAGTCAGCAAACAAATATGTATCCTCCCCGGATGGACTGCCCTCCTCCATCTTGTTCCTCTCCTTGGTCTGTTGTCTTTTCTCCCCTACCACCTTATCCTTCTTAATACTCCTATGCAAAAGGTTTCTATAAGGCACACAAGTGGCTGCCCATTTAATCTCCTAGTGTAGTTCCCCAGGAGAGGCTGACTGCGTGCACACACATCCCCACACCCAACAACATGCTCCTTCCCTTCCCAGTCCAGCTAGTAAATCCTTTAAAAATTAGCTTTAGGGATGCCAGCTCTTGCTCTTGCGCACATCCTTCCCTCAAAAAGAAAGAGACAGATTGTGCAATCTAATTAGACAATCCAGACTGACTGGGTATAAACTCTGGCTGGCTTATAGTGGTGCCATTTTGCATTACGCAGAGATGAACAGGATTTCATCCTTTGTGTTGTGGCCATTTTTTCCTGGGTAATAAAATATCAATTTAAGAAATAAAAATATTGTAACTTTATTGCAGGTCTCATTTGTAAAACAATAAATGTGAAGTTGTACAGTATTAAAACATGGAAACACTTTTCAAAAAGGTATACTTGTAAAGTTCACTACCATCATCTCCTACAAGAAGTTAGAGAAAAAAATGACTTACAGAAATATCAGTTTCTAAGAATAAAGTCTTTTTTATTGCATCATCTGTAGTAAGTTGGACAGCTTTGGTGACAGGAACCTGGAACACCGGGCTCTCTGAATGCCACAGCATGTGGGGAACCTGCAAACAAGCTACAGAATTTCAGACCACAGGAAAAAAGCATATAAGTACAATATAATATGCAACAGCAGCAACAGCTGAGCATGGTCTTATCAAACAAAACACTTTTAAGACTCACTAACTTCAACAGAGGAATTTAGCACGTATTTGATTGCCAGCAGGACTGCTCTTGTTATGGATAGCTTTACTTGAATCACATCAAAAAGTTTTAAACTGCCATTCATAAACAATGTCAGAATACTTGACTGCACAAAAGCAGTAACAGTAGCAAACAAACAAAAACAAAACACTAACAAATTGAAACAATTCTATTTTTTTGCAACACTAGGGCTTGATATGACTATTTCTGACAAAAATCATTATAAGTCCGGTTCAAAGCAGGGAGCAAAGGGCAGATGACATCAGAATTATTAGGAAACCCCTAGAGTCGAACACGACTGGACAAAAAAAAATTGTCAAGGGGAACCTTTACCTTTACCTTAACTTCAACAGAGGAATGTAGCACATATTTGACTGCCAGCAGGACTGCTCTTGTTCTGGACAGAGTAGCTTTACTTGAATCACATCAAAAAGTTTTAAACTGCCATTCATAAACAATCTGTCAGAATACTTGACTGCACAAAAGCAGTAACAGTAGCAAACAAACAAAAACAAAACACTAACAAATTGAAACAATTCTATTTTTTTGCAACACTAGGGCTTGATATGACTATTTCTGACAAAAATCATTATAAGTCCGGTTCAAAGCAGGGAGCAAAGGGCAGATGACATCAGAATTATTAGGAAAATAGCCAGTGGATAACAAAAGGCACCTATTAAGAATTTTTAACAGTAAAATGATTAGTAAAATGGAACATGTTCGAAGATTCCAAGCTGACATTCAGTTCATACACTGGTATAGTTGGTAACTGTGCTTTAGCAGCAGTCCAGAATCCTTTCAATTGTGGGACTGACCTTGGAAATTACTCAACGCTTTTAACTAAGCAAAAATGCAGGTGCCAGGCAGAATTAGCCAAATGGAACCATTCAAGCTGCTATGAATTTCAAAAGTCAGGCATAAACTGGTAACAAATTGAAACAATTCTATTTTTTTGCAACACTAGGGCTTGATATGACTATTTCTGACAAAAATCATTATAAGTCCGGTTCAAAGCAGGGAGCAAAGGGCAGATGACATCAGAATTATTAGGAAAATAGCCAGTGGATAACAAAAGGCACCTATTAAGAATTTTTAACAGTAAAATGATTAGTAAAATGGAACACGTTTGAAGCCGACATTCAGTTCATACACTGGTATAGTTAGCATCCGTGCTTTAGCAGCAGTCCAGAATCCTTTCAATTGTGGGACTGACCTTGGAAATTACTCAACGCTTTTAACTAAGCAAAAATGCAGGTGCCAGGCAGAATTAGCCAGATGGAACAATTTAAGCTGCTAGGAATTTCAAAAGTCAGGCATAAACTGGCTCCTTCTGTCTAATGGCCATGACTGTTGAATATTGGCCTGTATCTCCCACACATGTCCTGTCAATTAAGATATCATTGTAAGACTATAGGTGTGATTACCGGGAGAGTTAGGACAAGGAGAAGACTCACACTTAATGGCCAGCTTTCCAGAAGCGCCGTCATCATTTCTCTTTAAATAATATTAGGAAGGAAAGAGACTAGGGGAAATGAAGCAGCTATCCACAAACTACCTCAAGGGGAAAACCTAGGAAGCGCAATTCTTTTAAAGCTTCTAGAAAGAATCATGCGAATAAGACATGCGTGTGCATGTGCCATATGTAACATTTCCATTAGCTGGCAGTCTTGAATTCTAGTTTTGCTCCTAGTAGGGCAGTCAGTGGCAGATCCATCACCAAGAACTCATTCTTGACAAAGTCAAGAATTTTTAAAGGAAGAAATGCAAACTTCCAAAGACCTTCAACCACAGACGTCTTCACTGTGGGAGACCTTACCTGCTCAGAGCTTTCTTCAATCTGTACATCTAGGTACTCTGGTGGCAAAGCAGGAATAGTAAGAGCAGACTGTGAAAGCGGAGGCGCTGACTGAGAAAGTGAGGGTTCTGAGCCATGAAGTCCCGAATGAACGGTTATGTTTGGTAAAAAACTATTATCCACTTTAGACTCTCCTATCTTCAGATGCTCTATTTTAGAGGCTATGCGTGAATCGGACATTGTGCCAACACAACCAGAGGCAGACTTATCACACTGGTTCGGGTCTTCTTTCCTTGATGCAAATTCTTGATCAAGGGCAATCCAAAGTCCAGCGATCCATGGCTCAACCACCAGTTCCAAACTGAAAGAAAGAAAAATGCACATTTCCCCCAAATTTGAAAATGGTAAGGTAAATGCTAGAAATCTTATAGCAAATGGATGGCCAACAGCAATTATCCAAACGCTACCATGTGTTTTATTTAACGAGCTGCTCATTAGAAAGCAGAAAAGGAGAGGCTAGAACCTCTCTCTGAAGTGCAAGAAATTCAACGCGATTCATTGGGAAATCATGCACTGATCCTCAAGCTGCATTTGCACAAAGGAAAGCAGAAGAACTGAACGCAAAGACACTATATTTCTGTTTTTCTCCCACACCTTAGTTTCTCTGAAATCTTCAGATGCTCATTTTTCCTTGCAACTCCATGGAAGAAGGCGGCCAGAAAATAAAGGAAGCCTTCCACCAGAACTCTACAGAGCCAGAAGGGCACAGTGGGAACACCTCTGCAGAAGCTAAGAGAGCTCCACCAATGCCATCAGAACAGTCCACAAGCCCAAGGCTTCAGAACACCTCCTGATGGTAAGAGGAAATGTGTGTGAGCATTATTCCTCATCTAGGGTACTATGGTGGGTATTAAAGGAAAAGTGAGGGTGGTTCTAGCCTGCTTTTTCTACCAGGAAAATAAGAGCATTTCTATGTTTATGAAGTTGCTCTTCTATCTTGCCTACTAATTTATTCACCCTTTGAAATCATCAGTGATTGGACACACACACACACACACACACACACACACACCATACAAATGCACAGAGGGTTAATCCAGCAACAGCATCCTCACATCACTAAACTTTGGGGGAACAAAACAAGCAATGTCTCCCAAATGATCTAAAGCACTGGGAAGTTTGAAGTGAAGGGATCAGAGAATCTGTCTGATATAATGTTTCCAGTTTGATATGAATATCAGATCACAAGCCAATTACCTAGCAGTCCATATCGTAAATGGGAGAAGTGATTCGCTGGCAGAGTTGTGTTGCTAATTTCTTTAACAAACTTGACTGCTGTGTCTGGAGGCTCTCCTGTGCCAGTAGTAGAAATCACAATAACAACAGGATCCTTTTCAGTCTCCAAGTTATACTACAAATCAAAAGGAAGAAACCAAATTCAAACATTATAGTACAGACAATCAAAAGAAGTATTTGCACACACACTCACAACTGAACATCCAGGCACAGGGGTTAAGCCTCTGTAATATTCAAATTGTTTTATCAGACTTTCTAATAGGTAGGGTTTTTGTTTTTGTAAAAAGGCCACTGTTTTAGACCTGAGTCTGCAGCACCTGGCAGGCTATAGTTAAAGACAGATATTCTATATATATTATCTGTAAGCTTCTATAGAGAATCTTTATTGGTTGCCTTTATTTAGGACCCAGGTGACCACTGGATAAGTGAAATTAAGTAGCTGCCTAGTTGTTCCAGCCTTAATGACAGGACTAGATCAAACCTAAAATACTAATAGCTACCTACTACAGAGGTAGGTAACCTGTAACCTTCCAGATGGTTTAGAACTGAATGCCTAGCCAGCATTATCAATGGCCAGAGATTATGGAAGCTGTGATACAAAATCCTTAGAAAGTAAAATGCAGCCTACCAAAAATAACATAACAGAGGAATATTAATTAGGGATATGTAGGGCAGAAATCTTCACTTTGGTTTATTTTGGAGTAAAGCCTCTTTAGTTATCAAGGTTTGGGGGGGGGGTATGGTTCCTTTACTTTATTACAAAGTAATTTGACTCTTTGAGTCATTTCATTTTGGTTTTTTCTCCGTTACATTTTTCAGGTGAGGTAAGAAGAGGGAGGAGAAAGAAACGGGCTGGTGTGGTCAGGAAGTGCACCCTGTTGCTGATGAGCCAAGGAGAGGGAGGTGAAAGAGGGCAAGATGGGTGGGTACATTGAGAAGGCACATGGCTATGGGGAGGAGAGATCAGGGAAAATGCAGCAGGCAGGCTATCTGCTGGAATAAAAGTGAGAGGTGACTCTACATACATGGCTCAAATGGAGGTAATCTGATGGAAGTCCACTGCTTGTGTGGCCATCTTCTCAGCTAAACAAAATGAACTAGATTTCAGAGGTGCACTCTTGGATATTACCAAAAGAATCTAAGAACAAAAGTAGGACCCTATTCTGTGGTTTCTTTCATTCAGGTCAACCCAAAGGTCCCATGCCTACTCTGAAATATAAAAAGAGAGAAAAACTCCTGCCAGGACACACAACAGCTTGGTTAAGAGGCCCAAAACAGCACTAGAGAATGCCATAGAATGGGTTAGAACCCCACCAGATCAGAACGCATCAGTAGCATTTTGCAAAATTAATGGCTATTAATATAAGAAATGGACACAGTCAATGCAAGAACCTAATAAAATGGTTCTAACTTCTCAGAGTTGTCTTAACGTATGCAATATATACGTCCGTTTATTTACAAATGAAGAGGATTAAGGGGGGGTTGGAATCAAAAGACACTTTGCACCTTCCTGGCAGAGGATGCAACATGCGCTTTAGGGAGCATAGCTAGTTAACTCCAACTAAGAACACTCAGCCTGGGACTGGTCCAGGTCTCTTTGGCCTGTGAAACTGAGACAGTGGCAGGACTATAATTCCAGGAATAGTAGACAGCGTGAAACCAAGATCAAGCCATTAAAGGTCCGCATATCTTTTGGGCCCTTAGGAAATAAGGTAGGGTGGATGTTCTAGAAAACTGTAAGGTGGAGAGATAGGTCTTTTAAAATTATTTGACTCTATAAACCACCATTCCTTATCTCCATGGGTGTCTCTGTCACATGGCTTTCCTTTCAAAAACTAAGAAACTGCGCCATTGCTTTGTGCGATCATCAAGCTTCCTGGAAAGAGTAATTCTTCAGGAGGCACCTTCTCTATAGAGTCTAATGGGCAGTGAGGCTCCCACTCTCAGGAAGGCTTATAGGGAAAGCTTAGCATATTCAAAAGCGGTGGCAAGATTTCTTTCGGATGTCCAGCGTGACTCTCAAAGATAGAGGTCTCACCTTATCTGATTTACTGATGCAGTGAAGATCAGCTTCAAAACCGTGTTCCTTGGCCTGCTGGCATATTTCTTCAGCTATGGCTTCCGCCTGGCCCTTTTGGCTTGCATAGAGCAGCAAAAACCTCCTATTGGTTTTACAGCACATCTTTCAAGAATCAACTACACAAAAAAAGGGAAAAAGAAATCATATGAAGCACTAAGATGTACTGCTCATTTCTTTAAAGTATTTATTAACAGTTTCCCACTCACCACGATCCACAGAGCAATACATTTGAAAATATTCTGCGATACATTATTTATTAAAGTGTTTATTAAATGACTTGTGTCAACCATCCAGATTTTTTAAAAATGCAAACACATCAGATTTAAAATAACTGGAGGTGGATTCACACTATATTCACTTACATCTTAGGAAGAGAGAGAGAGAGAGAGAGAGAGAGAGTGTCCCCTTCTGTTTTGTTGTTCCTTACCAGATTAAAATGTGATTTAACTATGTCAACACCACAAACCTGTGGCTTTCAGGGCCATAGAACATGGTGAAAAGGGGCTAAACCAGCATTATACCTTGAGTTTGCTACTCTGCCAATCACTCAGAGCTTAAGTCCTATTTGCTCTAGCATACAACAGATAAGGGTGAGCAAAAGCACCAAACTAGAGTAAAACAGCTAAAGACAGAGAAGCTGCATTCTCTCCTTGACCTTTCAAACATGGCAGTGCTTTTAGCTTAAAACTTCAGAATGCTGTTGCCATCCAGCTATTCCATTAATTTCTACTGCAAATAAAACAGATGCTCAATGGACTCACACCAAGCTTAAACACGCTCCTCTGATGCAGAAGATCCTATTTGCTCCTTTTGTGCCTGTTTTGGAAGAGATAGCTGTGTTAGTCTGTGCAAGCATATCGGACAAAATTCAAAGAAACAAAACAAAATGACAAAAACGTGTGGCACCTTAAAGAGTAACCATTATATTTTAATGTATGCATCTTTAATGCCAATTAAATATATATTTTAAAAATATAACAGATCGTCTTTGAGGTGTGACCCTTTTTTTTGTCTTTTTGTTTCTTTAGATTTTGCCTTATATGCCTGTGTCATTTTAAAATGTCACAGGTGACGTTTTTCTGAGCATGTACAGAGTGCTCATCTCCAGCCGCACCCGAGAAGGCGGACGGGGGGTGGGTGGGGAGAGAGAAAATCCTAAAGCAATTCTAAGCGTATGAAGAGTGCCTGGCAGGACCCGGCAAGTTTAGCTTGCTTCTTTCTTTCCCCCCCCCCGCCCCCGGAA